TGGCCTGGCACCGGATCGATCAGACGCTGCGACCTCTCAACGATCATAATGGATGAATCGAACTGGCCGAGGCCCATTTCACAACAAAAATCCTAACCTTTTTTTTTTTTTTTGTAAGTCTAATGAGAGGCTGACCCCATTTCCTGAAACTATCTTAAGGAGATTCGCTTGTGTTGTGTTTCTGAATTGTTCTGAAGAGATCCACTGCAGAAAGAAGCGAGCACACCGAGGTCATTGCTGGCAAACAAAATTGCCTTTGCTTATTCATTTTTAACAAATCGTGGGAAAGAAGCCACATACACACAACGTCATAAGGAAAGAAACAATTTATATCAAGACCAAAGTAAATATTCTGATTGAATAAGATACTCGATTTGATCCTTAGATGTTTAATAGAAGTGAATTCAAATGGTCGAATAATTAAGTTATACAAATTTCTATTGGACATAAACGTTGGCAAGAATACGAATTTGGAGTATCGGTGTAACAGGCTAAAATTTCTGGCCTGCCAATATCTTTAAATAAACCGAAGTCCAGATGAAGAAATTTGTTGATCTGGGCTACAATCTTATTGAAGTTACCAATTTGTATAGTTTTGATCGGCAAATCTCGGACGATGGTAAGAAGGAAACTTGAACCACGTTTCAGATCTCTGGAAATAGAAGATTAACTGGTGAAATGAAGTGGCTTCATTCTTAACGTTTGAATAACTGTGTTGCAAATCTTCTGATAAGTTGATATCGGAGAATTAATCACTCTGGGGCGGCTGACGAGATATCTCGCGATGAAATACTTTCTTTCTTGGACGTCTTATTCAGGTAGTCAGTCGGATAGGAATTTAAAACAATTCGCAGATGATGTTGAAGGCAGAAATAGCAATGGTGGTCAGAAATCGACTGGCAATTTATCTTTTATTTATTTTCGCACAAAAATACGCCCCCACCCTTGGCCCAAACAGATGGAAAACAAAGTAACTTGACCAAAACAAGTTGAACGCTTTTAATGTTGGATGCATGTGTGTATGATTTGCGCTGACAAGTAAATGTTGGTAAGATTATAGCTTTTAGAACTAAAGTAGCTAAAATAATTGTAATTTTAATAATGTGTGTCCTTTTTAAATTATGACGATAAACTACATCCAGCAGCTTCTAATCGAGAGATTTGAGGTTTTGAGGAACGTGGAACCACCTCTTAATTGCTGTTGTTTCTAGATCCACCCTGACCCGGAGTAGTAGCGCTTGTTAGGGTCCAACATATGGGCAAATAGTGAACTCCCTAACAATAATCAAAAAACTATGAAAGGATAAAGATATATATGTTATAAAAATATTACCAACAATACATTTTGTAGTGAAATTACCAATAATACATTTTATCATATACAAACTATATATCTAAAAAAAAATATACGTTTGCCCTAAAAGTGTAATATCATGAACAAAATGTCTTTATTTGAAGGCATATGATTGCGTATAAAATATATTTTAAATTGCATACAAAATATTTTGACTTCAGCCTTAAATAACCCATAAAGGTTAAAATACCACTAATCAAAATAAAGCAACAACTATTTTCCTGACCCCACAAACTAACAACTCTTCCGCAATATTACACCAACGATGCGAAGTGCTGTAGCTAGAAAGATTCGCACTGGTCTGAATACGTTTTCTTCACTTAACTGGAGCACCCTGTACTCCTGTACCTATCATAACGTCACTATACGTATTACTTCCGAGTGTGCTGGTCAAACTCTCTGCCTCCGGGCAGAGAGGATTCCCAGACGAGGCAGTCTCTCGACTCGGGAGACAGCTACCCGACCCTGTTTTTTACGGGGTCTCCGGGGAATTTTTGACAGAGCTTACGGGCTCGGATATCCCACAATAAACTCGGCCTTGGGCCACATGCGACCGCTTGGGGCGGTTAGTGAATATCATCATAACGTTACGATAACTATTTTCTCATTATTTTTATTATTAGCATCGAATTAAGCCTTATTAAATATAAATTTAAAAAATATGAAACATTTCCCATAAATTAACAGATTAAAATATGCTTATTTTCGTCTAGCAGCCTGAGTATTCAGAAATGTCATAAGAGAAAAATATGCGACCCCCTCCCCGATTATTCTCTAAGATTTCTCGAACATTCAGGCCTACATACACACACAGTGTTGTGGGGAGGGAATATTCGTACACATACAAATTTATAATTTATTGTATTTCCTACTAATGAATAAACATACTTTTCATATAATTAACGTTACAGATGCATAATAACTAAATATGCATAAAAAACAGGAAAAAAAAAATTGATTTAATAGAAATAAATCCCATTGATCCATTTTAATAAGTGAAAAATGAATTCATACAATACCAAAAAGAATACATAATCTTCATTTAATACTTTATAGAATAGCCATTATTCACTTCTTAAGCAAGCAACCTCTTCTTGTAGTTCTCAATTAATGATTTATAAATTCTAGTTGGTAATTTGTTCCATTCTTCTTCGAATATGGTCTTCAGATCCGGGATATTTGTTGGAGCTCTTCATTGGATTTGAATTTTCAAATAAATATGGGGACTGACTTGGCCATTTCAAGATATCTACATTATTTTTAGCAAACTGTTTCTTCGTAGATTTTGTAGGGTGCTTAAGATCATTATCTTAGAAGATCCAATCGAAAGCATTAAATTTGATTCCAAAATATTTTGATATGCTACGGCATTCATCCTACCGTCTATTACTGATGTGTTGCCAGTACCTTTTGCAGAAAAACATCCACAAACCATGATGCTGCTATTACCAAATTTCACTTTTGGAACGGTTTTCTTTTATTTGAAGTCATCACCATCATTCCTCCATAGAAGATTTCTAGAATTATGTCCAAACAACTCAATTTTTGCTTTGTCTGTCTATAATACTCTTTCCCAATACGATTTTTTCTTATCCTTATGTTCACGAACGAATTTCAATCTGGTATCTCTGTTTTTTTTCAAAATCAGTGGAGTTTTCCGAAGGAAGCGTGACTTTAGATTGTTCCTATGAATTTCAATGCTTATTGCCCGTTTAGTGAAAGATTCCTTATGAAAGCTAATCATCCTGTAACTCTTGACGAGTAACCATTGGATTTTGTTTAATTTGATGCATTATTTCCTCGATCTAGAAGAAATCTTTCGTGGAACACTTGTTCTTATTTGGTTTTCAACAGTTTTGAGTTTTTTATATCTTCAATGAATGAACTAATGGTATTAATTCGAAATATTCAGGTTGTCTTATATTTTCCAGTAACTTCTAACTTCTTTCCATAGCTCAACAATCAGTTCTTTTTGCGAATTTGTCAATTCTTTATCTCTTGCCATGATGGTAACTTTCTTGCACGAATATCAATTACAGAATGTTCTATTTAAAATATTCCACTTAAATAATCTAGAGTATTAAAGCAATTTAAATGTTTTAAAATCTGAAATTTCCATTGTACGAATATTTTTTCACCCATTAAAATGGATAAAAGGGATTTATTTCTATTAAATCATTTTTTCTGTTTTCTCTGCATATTTAGTTATTATGCATCTGTGTACATATAATTATATGAAAAATATGTTTATTCATGATTTGGAAATACAATAAATAAAAAGATTTGCATGTGTACGAATATTTATTTCTTCCCACTATATATATATATAAGTCCGGCAATTATTTTAAGATATTTATGCTTATACATTCTTTTTATAGATATAAATATTTAAGTAAATGTTCTGTTTATAATAAACAGTATTAAAGAACATTTACCGGCCTGAATGTCCCAGAAATTTTCACAGAAAATATTCGTCCTCCGACAGGAATCGAACCTGTATCCTATACGGAACCGCCATATAGCCTGACGTGCCTTTAACCGATTGGGCCACAGATAAGCGTTCGGTTAGCAAGGCCGATTTTACTGTCTTTAAACTACAATCTTCTATGATTCTCTCACGTACATTCATATCTGTTCATGGCATATCCAAATGTAAACAAATGACGTCACACATGTCGGAGGACGAATATTTTCTATGAAAATTTAAAGTTCTGATTTGAGGAAGCCTTTCTAACGATGGCGAAAGTTGTAATCAAGTCAATGAAACTGTTTCCCACTTTGTGTAATTTATCAAACTTTGTTCAGATTCTATATCCTATTTATATATATATATATATATATATATATATATATATATATATATATATATATATATATATATATTTAAAAGGAAAACAGACCACTTTAAGGTACCATTATAATAATTTATTTCACCAGAGCCCTTTTAAAAGGACGCCGGATCATCAGATAGCACTTCCAAAAATGAAATGAAAAATGAAATTAAAATTGATGGGTAGTGTAAGTTTTTGTAATTTAACAGAGAGTGTAAGAGGGATAGTTAAAGAGACATGGTAGAGTATAGGGAGGGATTAATTTCATATCTCTCTCAAGCATACTTTGTATTGGGGGAGGAGGAGTAACCAGACCTTGACCTAGTCAGACGGTTAGCTTAACGGAAGTGATATATTGAAATGGGAGGGGAGAAGAGAGAAAAGAGAAAAGAAAGAGGGAGAGGGAAGTAAAGAGAAAGAGGCTGTAATTGGGTTTTAGCAATTTATGTAAAGAATACATATATATATAAATAATATATATATATATATTCTTTGTTATTATTATAACCGACATTCACAGAAGATCGGCCTGTTTTCTTTGAAGCACTGAACATTTTTATTTTTATATTTTACGTGTTTTAAGACTTAAACTTTTCATTTTATATACCTGTTAGTGTATAAACATAGTATAATAAATATATATATATATATAATAGATATAGATATGCATGAAATGGTTCCCATCTTAATCTTTATAGTGTGAGATAAAGAGACGCAGGGGTGAGTTCGAGGTTATTCACTTAACCTTCCAACCTTCCAGTGTTGAGAAAACAAGTTATAGTGATGCGGCCAAATTGATGAAGAGTCAAAGAGACGTCCATCTCAACGTCCGAACAGTGGTTAACACAAGGAGCGCCCTCAGACTTGCCCTAGCTGCAGGCTGTGGCTTATACGATAAAACAATTTGTCTGTCGTTGAGCGTGCGTGCGCGAGAAAGAGGAGGAAAGTGAAAGAATGGGGAAACTATTGAAAAATCGATAAAAAGGCTATGGATTAATATATACGATATGTGAAAATGTTCCTTCCAACTCATCCCCCATTTAGCTAACATCGAAAGCCTTTGCAACAACTGCCAGATGGCTGCCCAGTCTCGAATGACTTGAGGTAAACGTGTTCAACTTCGTAGCAGAATAAATAAATGGAAGCAACCATTTGTCCTGAAGCGCTGAAAGTGACGTATTCAGGTGGACTTACTACTTTTCAATACATTTTAATAACATTTAATAATCTTTCCAGCGACTGTGTCTGTATGCCGTCAGAATTTCAAATTAAAGAACGGACAAAGATCTACCCAAATGTTCAGAGAATTCGAACATTCATTGATCTGTTGATTTACGATCTCTCACTGAAAATATTACGTATTTCTCGAATTTACTCCACCAGGAAAATAAACAAAAATAGTTTTTTTATCACTTTGTTTTTTCTTCAATTCAGAAAACTATTTCGCAAATTCAACTTCCCAAAATATTTGGATAGCGATTCGTATTCCAGAGTCTGTACCTCCTAATTTCAGTTTCCTAGTCGTGAATTCTAAATACAGATAACAAAAAAAAATCACGTTTCCAAAAAGGTTTGAAAGCCATTGGGTGGTTGACAATACTAAATATCCTTACCAGAAGCATATTAAATTTATTAAATAAAGGGGCTCTTCTTATGTAACATAATTCTTTTATAAGACCTGTTTGGATTATCGGTTGTGTGCTGAAAATAAGCTAAGCTTCGGAAAAAAACAGTAAGTGTTAGTGTAGCTTAATTGCTTACTAAACTAAGTTTGGTAAGAATCAATGCGAACAACCTAAAGGATTTTTTTAGCGCAAGAAAATCATTGTTCAGCTATTTCCACCTACGGAAGACTGCGAACTCAAGTGACATTTGTTTTAAAGAATTTTAGTCATTGTAAGTTGTTAGGCGAATGCATCCTTTCGAGTGCCCAGGTGTTTTTGTCAAGATCTGTAGATAAACTGCCAGATCATGACTAAAGAGCTTTTATCTTTCCATCGGGTGGGGGTCTTGTGACTTTGTGCAAGCACCAGCCGTTGTCGACTTCTGAACAACTTCGTCTACTCAATTTTACTCAAAAAACATGGTTCAATTGATTGAATAATTTTCAGGCACTTCCCAATGATTTAGCAGACTGGGATTGCCTTCCCAGGCCGATAGTATCAAGAAATCATCTTCGAGACGAGAAATTCTCAACCACTGTTGATATTGTCACGGCATTTGTGTGTGTGTGTGTGTGTGTAAGTAGTAATGGTACAACATTAGTATTTGAATAAAGGAAGAAGCATTAAACTTTTTATCCCACCTTAACTAAAAAAAAAGGCTTTATCAGTTTTATTGCAATTTTCTACTTCTTATTTATGTGAATTAGGCTTCTCAACCTTAAATAACATCAAAAGTAAGAAAGAAGGACTACGCTCAACTGAAGAAAAAATGTGTCTGCTTATCGCACATTCGACCAAACATTGAAGAAATCACGGGAAAAAAAAGACCAGGTACAGGTTTCATACTAAATAAACTGCACAAATATTTGAATAGGAACACTGAAATAAATTAGGTTCATATTTTTGTGTGTATTTTTTTAAATTTATGGTTTTATTTCATAACATTTAAATTTATACCCTTTAAAAATTTTGCTACGTATACTGTGATATTTTTATTTGTTCCTAGGTGTGCCGTTGCTTGAAAAGTTTGAAAAACACTGACCTAAGAGATGTTTAAAAACGATCATAATACGAAAACATTATCTTTTTCAAATAATTCTTTTCACTATCCTTCGATTATGCTATTTTAAATACTTTGTTTTAATATTCATTTAATATTCAAAGTAAGTTCGTGTCTGTGTGTGCATCTTTTTTAAAATCTATGGTTTTATTTCATAACACTTAAATGTATACCCTTTAAAAATGTTGCTAAGTGTGCCGTGATATTTTCATTTGTTCCTAGGTGTGCCGTTGTTTGAAAATGTTTGGAAACACTAAACTAGACTTATCCACCATGGAGAGATTAGTTCTCACGGTCGGAATGCTAACACTCTACCAACTCGATCACGCACAAAATAAAACGCAAGGAAATATAGGTTGTGACAGAAATACCTCCCACATGGTAAGACATTAGTGGCAATGGTGTCTTCATCTAGCTAACGTCTTAGTCAATGTAGGAGATATTTCTGGCGTACCATGTTTAATTAGCCACAAGTTGGTCAATTTAGAATTGGAATGTCGATAACGCTTCATGAGAATAAGATACCAAATAGTTAATGCGTATGATAATTTATTCAGATTAAAATTAGTTGTAGAAGGTATGTTCTGCCATCTTGTGAATCGGGCGTTTACCTAACTTCCTGTCATCCAGTTATTTTGTATGTTTATATTCTAACTATTCCCGTTTATATTATTGCACTGACACCATTTGAGGCCTGATTAGCACTTCCTGGCGTTGACGTAAACCCATGTCAACCCTCAGAGGGGAAATGAATAGAAAGCTTATTTTGGTATATCTTACGGTAAACCCAATAAAGAGTGAGGTCACCACAGATCAACTTCACTTAAGCCAAAGATTTTTGACGGATGTTGAATTTAATTCAAACATCCTGATATTTCGAGGTGTCAATCGCATACTACAGAATTTTAATCAAGATTTGAAACTGTCATTCATTTTCCTTTTTCAGAAAATTTCACTTTATTCTGTTTAATCTTTGGTAATATAAATGAAAAATTCTTCCGTTCTATTTGTTAAGCGTTTTACTTCCCTCTCCGGTCTTTTGAACAGGAGTAGAGGTTTATCCTTTATTTCCTGTTCAAGATTGGGTTTCCGGTTCTTTCTAACGTCTACTACAACTCTATATATCTAACGTCCACGCTTAAACTCTGAAATTGTATTTTTAATTTTTTTATTAATTTATTTTTTCTTTCAATAGAAGTGGATAGGTTCACATATTGTCCGGTTCACACTCCTCCTCCGCCTTCTGAACAGGAGTAGAGGTTTATACCTTGTTTACGATTAGGTTTCCGTTTCATTCTAAAGTCTTTTCATTCTTTTTCACTCGCCAGTAGCGCCTTGCATCTTAGTGAAATTATCGCCTTACTTGGAGTGAATTGATTATAAAAAATCTGCTATCGTCAGAAAATATCGCTATATTTAAGAGGTCTTTGCAGTTGCATTGTACTTACCTTAAAATCTTTATCTGCTTTTTGTGGTTAGCTCGTCTACGCTTATTGACCATTTCTAAGGCATGGTCAGTTTTATGCTTTCTCATTCAAAATTCGACAGAGGGTTAAAACCAATAAGCGTATCATAAAATCAATCAGTAATTTTATGTTCAATACTTTCTGAATATCGAAATTAAAAATAACGGCTTATTCTCTGCTTTGTTATCATCGAAAACACTTTTGTAACGGTAACGTAGGAATGACTAACAGGCTTACCGGTTCTTATACGGCCACTGAGAGTTAAGCAACGTCAAGCCTATTCAGTACTTAAATGGGTGACCGCTTTGGAATAACATGTGCTGTAGGGTTAGATGTGCGGCTGATGTAACGGTTCCTTATATTCACTTACGCGCTAATATGCTTGAGACAGGCATGAATCCACTTCTTCCCCACTAGCTATGGGTTAATTAGTAGCACTTGTATCAATACATCATTATCTAAAAAAAAAAAAAAAAAGCTAAACTTCTAAAAATTTACATTATTCGGACATTTATCCTGATCTTCATTAATATATTCACAACGTTTTGGCTGCTGTACGCTCCGGCTTTCCTCGGGTGATTGGAATTTCGAACGGAGCCCTTTATTTCGTTCACCAGGGTAGACTGTTCTAATTCCACGACCCATGCCTCTTCCGGATGTCTCAGTTATTTCCCTTTAACTCAACTATCCAAGTTTTGGTTCACCACTACTGTAGCCTGGTATTGAACTCACAACTCTTTGGCTCTAGTCAATGGATCTAACCAACGCCTTATTCCACTCGGTGGACGAAATAAAGGATTCGTCTCGAAATTCCAATCACCTGAAGAAGGCCGGGGCGCACAATGGCCGAAACGTTGTGAATATGGCAATGAAGATGAGAATAAGAGTCCGAATAATGTAGAAATACATGTTTAGACCTGTCATCAAAATAATATATACATAATTTGTATAAAATTGAACTGAACATTTGTTTTGAGAACTAATTTCTTTTACAGTCTGGCAACAACCCCTGGTTAACAAGAAAAGAGTCTAAACTGAAATGTCGGTCCTTTAAAGTCATTTTTTTTTCACTGTTGTATTTAGACGGGATATATTTTCTCATAAATGTATTTTTAAATAGACAAACAGAGATAAACTTAATCAACTTGCCGTCAGCGACGCGATAGGTATCGAACTCGTATCACTAATACTTGGACTGAGTGCCCACGGAGCATGATGTTGTTAAACAATTTAAATTGTCTATTTATTGCACTGCTTCTCAACCGTTTTCAGCACATGGACCATTTTTTTTTCTTCAAAAAATTCAAATGGACTACTCCTACTTTTATTTTTAGGCTGTTCAATTTTCACATTAAATTACTCAGTGTAAACACAAAGTAGTCTATTTACACTTTTAAATTTATTTTAGTAAACAAAGATAAACACAGGATATCAAAATACAAATTTGATGATGTCTTTCAGTCTTAGTCCATTCAGCTAGTGACTACTTTGATCTTGGTGTTTTTGACACAAGATATAATCAATTTTCGTGGTGTCATTCAAGTCTTAGTCTGATAGTTCCTCTGCTATTGAATAAAAAAAATATATTATATATCGTATATATAACATTATATATATATATATAAAATAAATATAGCACTGCATAATACCTACGTAATTTCGAAATTTTCAAATATAATGGCCATGTGTATAAAAAAACAAAATATATTTTTTAATTCTTCAAAGTATGAATAATTTAGATACATTTTTGTGAAATGGCGACAATTTTTTGGCTACAAATTCTTTGTGGATCAGTAGAAATGCTATATGGACCACCGGTGGTCCATCTGGACCACGTTGAGAAACTCTGATTGGATTGGTGGTGTAATGGATATCGGCTTGGAATGAGAAATCAGAGAGCCGAGTTCGAATTCCATTCAAGTTGATTACATTCACTTACGCGTAAACACCTATGGGGACGATATGAATCTACTTCTTCCCCACCCTCTCCCGGCTGTGGACAAATAGCAGGCAGACTAGGCCCTATATCCTTGGTTAGCTCTGAATTCAAACCAGCCTGGAGAGCCTTGGGCTCCGTCAGGCTATTTTGCTCTAGACACACCACTGACCCTACTGCTGCAGTACACGTGGTGCTCCTACAGCCCTTACGGGTGATCGTGATTTACTATTTTCGATCTACACGCTGGTGCATCGATCTTGTGTACATGTGTCAAATCATTATATACTTAGTAAATATATTGGATACCTGACACAGAATGATGCTTAACAAGCTTGCTTCCATAAACTATTCGCTAGTGTTCGGAGTTCGAACCTCCGAGATGCCCCTATATCAATCTAGGCTAATCTCACCAAATGGACCATAATATTATCGTTTTGTAAATGATAAAGTTTGTCGACAAGTTTTTTTTTTACTTATTGTCGTGAAATAAACCATACACGCAAGACTTTTAAAAACATTCCAACTAAGAGCTGCAATGTAATAATAATGAAACATGCAAAACATTTGATCAATCGGTACACAACGTAGAGAGTAAAATAAAAACAGGAAAAATATCTTATTTATCTATTACAGGTAACGCGTTTGCAATTGCGACACTGGAATATTTTATCATTTTTACTTCATTTTCTATATTTGTTGATAGTGTTTGCAGGCTGATAGCGGCGCCAATAGTGTACAAATCAATGTCACATGTAATGACCCAGAAGTGACAAAAACAACGAGCCAATGTGTCGTTGTATAATTCCAGCGTCATCATGTTTCGTTCGTTCAAGAACAGAATAGTTGACATGTTTCGGCCCTGGGCGCACTTTCCTCGACCGAATACGATAAAAAATATTCCAAGTGACGAACAACGATGTTCAACGGAAAATGAAAACAGAAACAATAAAAAAATATATATAAAATATAAAAACTAACATCATGGTGACGAGTGAAATTACGAAATACAAATGCTGCATTTAATATAATATAATCGATCGTTACATGGCGAGAGAAGAAGGAAAGGAAGAATAGTAAGAACAATAGAAAAAGAAAGAGAAGAAGAAGAAGAATCAAAAGCGAACAATGAGAAAAAGAAGAAAAAAATGGTAAAAAATGAAAAGGGAGAGCAAGAAGAATGAAGACAAAAAGAAGAAACAAAAGAAGTAAAGAAATCCAAAAAGACAAGAAGAAACCAAAGAAAAAAGGAGAGTAAGTAGAACGAAGAGAAGAAGAAGAAACCAAAGAAAAAAGGAGAGTAAGAAGAAAGAAGAGAAGAAGAAGAAGAAACCAAAGAAAAAAGGAGAGTAAGAAGAACGAAGAGAAGAAGAAGAAGAAACCAAAGAAAAAAGGAGAGTAAGAAGAACGAAGAGAAGAAGAAACCAAAGAAAAAAGGAGAGTAAGAAGAACGAAGAGAAGAAGAAACCAAAGAAAAAAGGAGAGTAAGAAGAACGAAGAGAAGAAGAAGAAGAAACCAAAGAAAAAAGGAGAGTAAGAAGAACGAAGAGAAAAGAAAAAAGAAGAGAAGAAGAAAGAAGAGAAGAAGAAGAAGAAACCAAAGAAAAAAGGAGAGTAAGAAGAAGAAACCAAAGAAAAAAGGAGAGTAAGAAGAAAGAAGAGAAGAAGAAGAAGAAACCAAAGAAAAAAGGAGAGTAAGAAGAAAGAAGAGAAGAAGAAGAAACCAAAGAAAAAAGGAGAGTAAGAAGAAAGAAGAGAAGACAAGAAGAAGAAACCAAAGAAAAAAGGAGAGTAAGAAGAACGAAGAGAAGGAGCAAAAGAATCAGGAGAGTAAGAAGAAGAAGAAACAAAAGAAAAAGGAGAGTAAGTTGAACGAAAACAAGAAAAAGAAACACAAAAAAAATAAGAACTAAGAGAAAAAGAAAAAAACGAACGACATGTAAAGAAAAAGAACAGGGGAAAAATGGAATAATGAAAAGAAAAACAAGAGAAATAGCCTGAGAGAGAACACCGAGAAGAAATGAAAGAACAAGGAAAGCAAGTATAAGAAAAAAACGGAAGAAAGAGACAAATTAAATAAGGAGAGCAAGAAGAAGAATGCAGAAAATATCAGAATAGAAAATGAAAATAAAAAAAACCCCAAATAACCAAAGATGAATTAGAGCAAAGAAAGTAGATGTGAAAGAGCGAATAATTGTAGTTGAAGTGGAGAGGGGGGGGGAATGACTGGACAAGAAGATGTGTCTTGTGTCTGTTGGCAATGGCTGAAAGGGAAAGTTTGAAATGACATGTTCAGGAAAGGAAGCTAACTTAATACATTGTGCATATAAGGACATCAAATCAAGACAGCGGATCTAAGAAAACGAAAAAGAAATCAACACAGGTTGGTAAAAGGAGATATCAGAAGTGACACGAAACAAATTTATTCGTACTTGCATAAATGTGAAATATATATATATATAACAAGCTGTATTAAATTGAACTAAGAAGGTTTGTCTGTTTAGATTTATTATTGTATTTTTGCATGTTTTTAATAATTTATTGCACATCCGGTCGAAAAGTGTCCATGTGCAAAAACGTATTTACTAATTGAAGCAATGAAATAAAAATTAAACAGATGGACCTTAGCCATCGAATTTAATCCAATTTGTTGGAATTAATGTCAGATTTTGTGTATTAAAAATTTTGAACAGATTTGTCTCATTCTTATCAGGTGACCGTTGCCCATGTCTCGCTGTATATTTATGAATCTCTAATAATTCCTCTAGGAAATTTAAAATATTCCCGTTATTTTTTGTTTTTTGTTTCTTTTTTCTTGGTAAAAATCTATTAACTCATCTTAAGTCTACTGAACAATTTGGCAGTATTTCAAAAATTATCTTCCATTTAGAATGAAAAGTTATTCTGTACCTTCAATATAAGATCCTAACTGGTTTGGGAGAGACGAACTTGCCGCATGAGCTTTCTTTCCATAAAATACATTTATTGGATGTTTTGGTACGCATCGTCAGTGATGTTTCTAGCCGTGGTTCAATACTTGCCGTGTTTATTACTTGCCCTTGATTTTGTAAAAATAACCACGACAGTGGTAGTAGCAATTCTCAATCACTTTATTCTCGTACCAAACAAGATACAAATACAAAAAATATATATCTCACCCCTGGCCACTCAGCTGTTTATATAACACTGGACAAGGTAACTTATGTCTACCTGTGGAAGTCCCCTATTGTCTAATGAGACATTTCATTTCTACTCTACATGCACCCTTCCTCCTCCGACCATAGGGCGGATTGACGTGGTCAATTGAAGATTTGCCCCAGAATATGTATGCAATTGTCCTCGCATTTCTGGGGATAGAGTTTGAGATGCCCGCCTGTTTCGACATTGGCGTTGACCTGGGGATGGTGTCGTCTGATATTGATGTTCTCCAATATTATTTTGTATTTAGTCTATTGAATCCGCGGTGTGCTCATTTCTATTTTTACTCTACAGTGTTGCTATTACAATAATATTCTTTTCTCATTATTTCTAACAGTTATTTCAGTGGAAAGATAGTATAATGTAACTTACGATAACAATAATTGCTATAGCAATAACAATTAGTAGTACCCGGGAAAATTTCGGTTTTTCTATTAGAATTTTCCAGTGATTCAATTTGGTCCTTGTGAATTCTGTCACTATAAAATACGTGGGAATTCCTCTATTGCATCATTCAACATTTGAACTTAACAACTTTAACAAAATGCTACAATAACAATCATAAATATGAATGCTGGTCGATATTTAAGGAAGTAAGAGGGTACAGATTCAAAACTGAGGAAATTTTCCATTTCACTGATGCAGACGTTAAAAAAGCCTAAATTATTTTCTTTTCCTCACTGAAACCAAACAGCGTCTCTGATATGGTAATAGCAATGGTACATTAGCCGTTTCCTTATAAAGAAACATAGACCAAGTCTGTGATGTTATCTGTTGAAATTATAAAATCTTTCTATTAAAATAGCTTTTCAGGAGAGTACCTTTCTCAGGACCTGTGTTATTGCTTTTTCCAGTATTGATGGGGATTTCTTTTCTAACCTTTTCTTTAAACTAGTGCGGAATGTCAACATTTTGAGTAAACCATTATTTCCTCTTTGAGTTTCACGTGCCGTCAATTTTAGTTCAGTCTTCATTTGATGTGGTGTATGCTATTTGGTACAGTTCTTCGTTTGTGATTTTGTAGCGCCAGTCCGAAGACGGAAGATCTTCGCTAGGATCGCGTTCGTTCGAAACCATTTTTAACCACTGATTTGAGAAGTTCATATGCTCCTGAAAAATTTATTTCAGTTGAGCTCTCTGGGTTTGTAAACAGTGACTATTACGGATAATAATGCAAGACTCTTCGGTAAATCAAATCGAGTTCTCTCAGTCACTGTGTGTTTATCTAAAATGAAATGCCGTGCGCCAACGGCTTAGTGGTAGAATCCCCGACTGACGCCTATTCAGTCGGACGTCTAGCCACACTGATGAGCTGTGATACAGCGAAACAGTCTGCCTATGGATCACTATATTTACAAGTTGATAAATATATATATATTTGCTTGGTGGTGGGAAGGGAAATCTATCTGTTTGTTTGGGGTGGCACTCTCATACGCATAGACACATACCCACAGGTGTACGCATTTTAGTTCACCACTAAACATAGTCAAACAGGCATAAATAGATCCAATTTAAAAAAATGAACCAGTATCTCTGATGAGCACAAAAGCGTGAAACCCAGGGTCAAAAACTCATACAGCTTATATATATATATATAAATATATATATATATATATGTGTGTGTGTGTGTGTGTGTGTGTGTGTGTGTGTCAACATGTTGAGATAGTCTGAGTGTTTTGACAAAAAGACAGGATAGGTTGGTCAATTTAGAACAAGGAACGTCCAATTTGCAATTCACTTTTGCCGTGAAATTGCAACCAAGGAAATAATTTAAAAAAAAAAAAACACCACCAACTCATCAATCCAGCCTCATGTGTGAATAAGTCAACTGTACATCGCATAAAATGTTTCTGATAAGTTTGCTCCAAATGTATCTTTATTGCTGGCATAATAATAGTGATGCTTCTAAAATATCAACAGAACCACTTCTCATGTACTTTCGAATGAGTCAAGAGGACGAGAAAGTAATTACCCGAGGTAAGTGAGGCTCCAATAGCTATCAAATGAAACTGATATATGCGCGTGTGTGTGTGTGTTCAAACATATATGTTCCAGGAAATATTAGATAGACATGACAATGATAGATAGATTCCATTTATATATATATATATATATATATATATATATATATATAGTCATCCACAGATAGACTGTTTCGATGTATCGCAGCTCTTCAGTGTGGCTATACGTCTGATTGCTTCAAGCCAGGATCGAAACCCGACTGATATGGCATCAGTCAGACGACACGACAGAAAGAGAGAGAGGAAATTTTAACGTTTTCTGTACGAAATACGCAAGAGGCCTGGATATATTATGAGATGGATCAAGTCCGACAATTATGTTAATATATTTTCTGTTTATAATAAACAGTAATAACTGCATTTACCAGCCTGAATGTCAGAGAAATTTCATAGAAAATATGTCCTCCGACAGGAATTGAACCTGGAACATACACGGAACCGTCATATAGCCTGACGAGTTATACCATTTAGCTACAGACCTTGCTAACTAGACGCTTCCTCTGTAGCTAAATGGTATAGCACGTCAGGCTATATGACTGTTCCGCATAGGTTCCCGTTTCGATTCCTGTCGGAGGACATATTTTCTATTAAATCTCTCGGACATTCAGGCCGGTAAATTACTGTTTATTATAAACAGAGCATTTGCTTAAATATTTCTATCTACCCAAACCGACAACATCAAGGTTACCATCCTGACAAATCTCATGCTCAGAAAGCCAACTTCCTTACCACTCATATATATATATATATATATATATATATATATATATATATATATATATATTAAAGTTAACATAAAGTTAACACTTAGAGGCGACAGTCTGTTTCATGAAACAGACTGTCGCCTCTAAGTGTTGACTTCTATGTTCACTTTTATATTTTTATATTTACGCACGCTCTATCTCTGATATGAAGCACTTTATCCCATAAATGTAGCACATCTTAAGACTATATTTTTACATATATATATAATATATTTAGCCAGCAATCCTTCATTTATGCATGTTTCATTAAAAACGATAGACAAGGTACTGTGATAAAGCTTTTTATTTAATTTTTCTTGTGTTCGAACAAGTGTTTTCTTTTTTGGACACAAAGTATGTAGAAATTGTCCAAATGTTCTATAATTCCGAGCGCTTTCGGATATACTTTTAGTCATTATCAAGGATGATTTTATTTATTCAATTTGTGTGCGTGTGTTGTGTGTATATTTTTAGTGTTATAGAGATGTTTTATTTTCTGAACACGGTTAGCACATTGTGTCCGTAGTTAATATTCTTAAGTGTTGGCGTTTTAAAAGAAAACACTTGTTCGAATACAAGAAAAATTAAATAAAAAAGCTAAATAATAGTACCTTGTCTGTCGTTTTTAATGTGTTTTTAATGAAACATGCATGCATGCACATATATGCGCCAATACTCAATAATATCAAATATGAACACGGCCACAACGTGCTAACCGTCTTTGGCATATTAAAAGAAATATTCCCACCACTATCGACACACACAATTTACATACACAGTTAAAAAAAAACACTGATTTCGCCTATGGACATTTGCCAGCGGAGCAATGTTTACCAGAATAATTCGCGCACCAGCCGCTGAACTCTTGTGTTCATTTTGAATATTTGAGAAGTTTTAAAAATGGAGAGGAAATAAAAATGTAATTGCAGTTTTTATTATTTTATTATCTTTTTAAAATTAAAAAAAAGTAGTGTGACAAAAAAGTTGCTTTCATTCCATTTTTTTGTCTCGACTTCTGAATTCCTTCTTTTTGTTAAATGTTTCAGCCGATCCATTCTACTGCATTCTTCAAGTGTACAATCCTTAAGAAAATAATTTGATTTATTTTATTCTATTCTTAAAAATAATAAAAGACACCCTTCTCATTCTTAACGACTTTTACACGGATGGAGAATTGATCGGTCGAAACAAATCTTTAGAGTCGTTTCCGAAATGATTTGGTTAGAGAATAAGTAGTTCTTCTATGTGCTGCAGCTCTTCAGGAGGTTGTCAATCATGGCTTTCCACAATTTCCTGTACTTTGTAGCTTTTAAAAAAATTCTCTTTTTGTTATCTCTCCTAAACCTTGTTCCACGATCCAATTACTCAAGCTCACTAAATATGTTACGCGTTGTTTTCCACTGCCCTTTTTGTCTTCAATTTGTGCTGTGAGTATCAGACTTTCCAAGCCCTCTTGCCTCATTATGTGCCCTAAAAATGTCAACTTTCTCTTCTTGATGTTAAGTGTAAGCTTCCTTTTCGTTTCCATTTTCTCTAAAACTTCATCGTTGCTCACATGTTCAGTCCTTGGTATTCTCAGCATCCTTCTGTAGAATCACATTTACATTGCTTCAAGTCTTCATTTGTGAGGAGACTGTCCAGCATTCACTGACATGTAGGAGGACTGATATTACATAACAGCTCAGTAATATTTCTTTGTTTCAAACGAAGTTTTCCTGTTTCTTAATACTTTGCTTAGCTTTTGGAAGGCATATTCTCCTATCCCAATGCGCATTCGATTTTCATTATTGCACTTTCCGTTAAAACATTTCTCAGATATTCAATTTTTTATACTTGTTTGATGTTGATACCTCCAATTTGTAATTTGCATGTTGGGCTGTCCCTTTTGCTAACAACCATGCACCTTGTCTTCTTGCAATTGATCTTTAATCTTCTCGTCTTTCCTTCGTTACCTTCTGTAAGAGTTCTTGTAGCTTCCTTTCTGTGTCTGCTACCAACACTGTGTCATCTGCACATCTTACATTGTTAATATTGTGGCCGACATGTAAATTATTTAGAGAATAAGTTACTATGTTAATTTATAAAATTATATTACTTCTTTTCTCTCTCTCGCTCTTCCGGGGTGGTAGCACCTGTTAAGGATCCAACTATGGGCAAATAGTGAACCCCAAAACAAAACACTGTGAAAGTGTAAAAATACATTTTTATAGTAACATATCAGCAATACATTTTTATTTAAGAAAATGACCAACAATACATTTCATAGCTAAATGACCAGCAATATTTTTATCTGGAGTTGAAGGCATATAATTGCGTTCAAAATATATTTAGTTGAAGCCATAATCTTTTGCCCTGAAAGTATAAAATTATGTACAAAATATTTAAATTTCGATATTAAATAGCCCATAAAGATGTTGATATGCCGCTAAATAAAATCAACCAATCAACTTTAGAAGGCATCTTTCGCTATTCCGATGAGTCTTGGGATTTTCCGTGTCTTATTTTCTGTCGTTTGCTAAAAGACTTTCAGAATTTAGTTTAGTTTCTGTATTTTGCTTTCTTTTAACGTTCCCAATTCGTAGCTCACATTTTTGAGCTGATCTTGCATACTGTGTTCTTACGATTGATAGTTAGTCCTTTCTCCTCGCTTTCCTTTACTACCTTTTACAGGAACTCTTATAGTTTTCTTTCTCTGTTCACCATCAACACGTTGTCATCTGCGTCGCTTGTTTTGGCTGTGCCTGCAATTAATAAACCTTGGTGAGCATTTTTGTTCTGTAATGATTTCCTAGTGAGAAGACGCAGTATTGTTTTACGTCCCTTTTGTGTACTTACTTGGTTCATTTTCTGTACGTATGACTTTTTCTCTCTATTTAACAAAAAAATCAAGTCAAAATTAATTTAAAAGTGACTTTTGGACAACTCTCTATCTTTCAAACAAAATTTAAGGAGATTATAAAATCATAAAAATTGAGTTAACTAAGAAAACAATTTTAAAAATTTGACAGTAAAAATAATCATAAAAACGTCTAATCAAATTTGACAGTAAAAATAATCATAAAAACGTCTAATCAAATTTGACAGTAAAAATAATCATAAAAACGTCTAATCAAATTCGACAGTAAAAATAATCATAAAAACGTCTAATCAAATTCGACAGTAAAAATAATCATAAAAACGTCTAATCAAATTCGACAATAAAAATAATCATAAAAACGTCTAATCAAATTCGACAATAAAAATAATCATAAAAACGTCTAATCAAATTCGACAATAAAAATAATCATAAAAACGTCTAATCAAATTTGACAATAAAAATAATCATAAAAACGTCTAATCAAATTTGACAGTAAAAATAATCATAAAAAACGTCTAATCAAAGTTCGAAAGAAAAAAAAAAGAGTCTTGACAAATGTCTGATTATAACGATAATTACGAACTTCTATTTAATGCTAACGATACACCGGATTTGTTTACGGATGTACACACCTTTTCAAAGACTAAAGATGTACAAGTTTCTTTAATATAAGAATGAATAGACAATGTTTTTTCTTTCTTTCTTTCTTTTTTTTATTCTCGCCCTAGAAAAAGAAAATTATCAAAACAAAGGATTTTTTTTTACACGAACACATTTCAGGATTAAAACTAAGTAACTTTGGACTTCATAGATTTTATACAAATCAATCAAATTGCTGTTAATTTCTACGGTAAAAAATCAACAATGAATATTTTAGTTGTTTAAAAACGTTTCCAGCGAAAAACCGGTTTTAAAATTGTGTCTTCGGACTAACTTTAAAAAAGGGTTCTAGGAACTTTTGCACACGTCTAATACATTAATCTGTTCTATATACAGATTTCATCAACGCTTTAGCCGTTCTTCCTGTTGGTCTTCAGGTCTCTGCCATAGTTGGTAACGTTCTCGCCATTTCGGACCAAACACTTTATTCAATTCACTGTGTAGGTTATTCTCATTCCGCTATCCTTGCTAAAGAATAGTCTCATATCAGTTAATTCTTTCTTGTTAATTAATCCTTTTGGTGCTCTGTGATGTAGGGAGGGTGCTGAAAAGTTTCAGGCCCGGCCAGGAGAACCACTCCCCCACCAATATATAAATAAATACTAGATTGGCAGCCGTGTTTTAACATTTTATATTTGACATGTAACTGTAAATTCTATTTTAACAGTTTCTTCTCTCACACTTCTTGCTTGTGGAACTCTCTTCCGGCTTCTTGCTTGCAAGTCAAATTTGATCATCAAAACTTTAAATGCAATGTCAATCGTTATCTTCTGTCTTCTTTATCGGCAGGGTTAGGGTTATCTTAATAATGTTTTTTCTTTTACTCACATTTTTTGACCGTCGGTAACCCTTTGCGTCTTAGTAGCTCTATTAGCCTTTCTTGAGGAGAAATGATTAACAATAAAATATAAATAAAAATATTAGAAAAATATTATTTTATAACAACTCTTTTTATTATCATTTTATCCCAAGTAAGGCGATAATACCACTAAGACGCAAAGTGTTACTGGAAATAGAAAAGAATGAGAAAACTTTAATGAGGTTATAGGACAATAAAATAACAGGATTTTAGAAGATAGAGTATTGCGATTGACGTTGGAAATTGTAAGTGGCAGGCAAGCAAGAAACCAGAAGAGAGTTCCACAGGTTAGAAGTGCGAGAAAATAAACTATTGGAATAGAACTTACGGCTGCATCTAAATATTGCAGCTGTAAAACAATGAAATCTATTTGCCAGTCTAGCATTACGTTTAAATTCACGCTATAATTTCTTTTTTAAAAATATGACATTTTTTTTTTATTTTACACAATTGTACTGCTTCGAAATGTCTCGAAACCGTTTATCTTATGATAACACTTGCGACTTTAAAATGGCTACTGCAAAGTATTCCTAGTCATTCATGTCATCTGTATTTTTAACACCAGAACAGGGTACAACGACAATACCGGTTTAAAATCTTTAAAGAAAAAGAAAAGGTAACTGTAATCTAAAGGGTAGATTTGAGGTAAGAGTCTGTCAGCAGATGGATAAATCAATGTTCATTCAGTTGTGGATCTTCCATAAGATTAGACATCAAAATTAGCTAAGTTCTTTGAATCTGTAACCCAACATCTATACCTGTTGACCATGATTTCTAATGAATAATAAGTCAACAAGAATACACGAAGAGCGCTAAGAGAATTCCGAAACTGGTCTAAATTCAAAAACATAGCGCCACCATCCTCTCGGTCGTAAAATCTTTTTTTTTTTTTTTTTTTACTTCTACTACTTTTCAACTTTTAGTGATCTCAGATTTTCCGAATTTTATGATATTTGTATTCATTCACTTCATGTTATCCCCTTAAGGAGTCTGTGATTTGTCATCGCGTTTGACTTCTTATGTTGATTGTTGTTTAATTAGTTTTTTATGGTTTATCAACCCGTTGTGGCCTATTTAAAGCCGAAACATATTTCGAATTGTATGAGGTCGCTTACAGTACTTGGTGTTTCCAGGCAGTCCCCCATCTAAGTACAGACTTGGCTCAACACTGCTTAACTTCGATGATCGAATGAGAACCTGTAATTCCAGCACGATTTGACGCTTGATTTCTTATAAATATGTATTTTTTTAAGCTTCTTCCATTCTTTAGGCAATGATTCAGCCATTTGTTTGTTTATTAAGTAAGCATGCTTGCTATCTTTCCGTTCGGAAAGGGAGATAACAAAAAAAAACGTCAATTTCTTAACAAAACGCCTAACGTTTGAATTATTGATTTTCCTTGCATGAATGTGATATTAAAAAAGTGACATTGAAAGAAAGAATTCGTGCCCAACAATAGGATCAAGTTATTATGGAAATATGGAATTTAAGCGGAAAGATATATTTGAGGGATTATTGATTTGATCGGAGAGTAGCAAATCGATTTGCACGATAACAAAACATTGGTTGAAAATGTGAATGCATTTTATATCTACATAACGAAACGGTGATCTGAATAGCAAAGTGTTTTTATATCTCCAAGGACGCTGTCTTTCACCAGGATAATTTTCATTCGTCTGTCTTTCTTAAAAAGTTTTCTTGAACCTTGCCAATTCATAAGAAATAAAAAAAAAACTGAAGGCATCTGTAGGCAGTACCCGAATTATGATTGCTCTACTTAAGTTGTTTCAAAGTTATGATAATATCCTTCCATCAGTATGACTGGTGCTAACCACCAGGAGAGTGGTTTCTCGGTCTAACGTTTACTGCTGATATTATGTGAAAATATTCTATTGAATTAATTGCTAGGTCTGCTGCTAGGAAAGTTAGTTCACTGTGTCGTGCCAAACAATTTTTCTCGTCAGAATCTATTTTACACATTTATAAGTCTACCGTTCGTCCAGGCATTGAATATTGCTATCACGTCTGGTCTGATGTTTCTGCTATGTATTTAGAGATCCTTGAAAAAAAATACAAAGCAAAATCTGCAAAGTTATTGGTCCTGATCTGGTATCTCAGCTTCAGACACTTTTCCGCCGTCGTAACGTAGCTTCCCTGTGTTTTTTCTATACATATTTTCATGGCAATTGTTCTGATGAGCTTTCTTCTTTGGTATCTGGACTTTAAAAAATTTAAGTATGCTACTAGAAGGTTTCAACATCTTACAGTTGAAATGACTAGATCGAACCGTAAGTTCTATGCTAACAGTTCCTTCTCTCGTATTTCACGCTTGTCGGGCTGTCTTCCGACATCTTAGTTCCAGTTAACTTTGAACTTAAAAAATTTAAATGCAATGTCAATCGGTATCTTCTGTATTATTGAAATCCCGTTCTTTTATTGTCCTCTCTCCTGGCGTTTTCTTGACTTTATTCCCTTACTTGTGTGTGTGTGGGGGTGGGGGGCTTATTAAAAAGAAATATTTCGTTAAAATTACAATGTGATTCTACAAGAACATACTGAGATTTCGATGGATTGAACACGTGAGCCAAATTAAATTTTAGAGAAAATGGAAACAAAAAGGACATTTTATAAATGGCATCAGAAAGAGACAATTGAAATTTCTAGGATGCATAATGAAGAAAGAGGGCTTGGAGAATTTGTCACTCACAGGATATATTGAAAAAGATGGACCGAAGAAAGTAGCAAATAACCTACTTAATAATCTTGTGTAAATGGCTGTCATAACAGCGAGTAGGAGAGATAGCACAAAGACAAAATTTACTAAAACCTATAAAGGACAGGAAGTTGTGGAGAATCATGATCACCATCGTCCTTAAAGGACACGGCGCATAATAATTAAGGAAAATTCTATTAATTAGTCGGATTTTAGAATTTCTAATTGCAAGTTAATTTTTTATTGAAATTTTCAAATTTTTCTATTTTTTTTTTTTTTTTTTTTAGATAGGATTGAAACATTTTTCAGAAATACAGATTACAAACAGTGTTTCTCTATGCCGTATTTGACAGTATATAAGACGTACCCCCACCCCCACATACAAAAATAGCTAAAAATGCCCTGCGTCTTATATGCAACGTTGGGCCCTTTCGGAGGCTAATTGTATCTAAACGCTCACTACCGTAGACTATAATTTTATTTTACACGGTCATTTCTAGTTAGTCCGACCCTGTAATAAGATTATTTATTCAAAGCTATTATTACTGAGTGAAAGACCAGGATGCCAACAAACAGACACTGGGATACACAACCCAAAATAGTCATCGTGACGCTCAGTCTGAGTAGAGTATATCATGCTGATGCATCACAGCGAAATGGACGTCATCTGGTGAGAATTTCTTTATAAAAGCAACGTATAACTTTGCAATTAGAAATGCCTTCAGGTCGAGTAACCCAATTCGTTCGAATGGTTTCCGATTGATGGTGTTCCCAAGTATCTATGATTAAAATGAAAACGTTCTCGATAATCTGCTATGTGGATTCCCCAACTATTTCTGCTCATGAACAGATATGCTCAGTGAGCCAGCCCCGACAAAATATGCGAAACTTTTATTATTATTGTACTGTAAAAAGAATTAGCATGATAAATTACCGGCGACGTTCGTCGGTCCCTGCTGATACGTCATAGCTAAATATGTTTTAACACACTCCTATCATTAATGAGCAGAAAGCTACAGGAAAAAAAGAGATGTAACTGAATGGAAATACGATTAATGGTAAAAGACTAACCTGGGAAATATAACATAAGACTTCAGGGTATACCATGCGAAACAGTTTTCTGCTTTTTCTTTTTTTTTTTTGTATATACAGTAATACTTTTTACTGTTGCTAAAATGCTTTTGCAAGGTACTGGTCGTTAACTTTAAACAGTTCATGGTTAAATGCTTTTTTTTTTTTTTGATATGCCTTTCTGAAAATGGGGGAAGGGGTCTGGCATGCCTGCATATGTTTTCCGCTGTCAAATATGGTTGCTGTAGACTTAAACTTTTTTCATTCAGGTCTCCATTTTTTATGTGATTTTTCGCGACCCCAGGTACACCGAAAATATATCCGTTGTTCACTGCACGAGTAGCAACGGCGTCGCACGCGCGTTTTATTACTGCAGGGCCTGCGTGCAGCATCACGTTAAATATTGTGCATTTGTGAAATAACATATAAACTGAAATTCAAGTGTTTGAATTTAATTTTGGCGACCCCAGTATATGGCATCACGATACCATTTTCGAAGCGCTTCTGTAGACAATAAAATAAGTTAATATCAAATCTTTACTCTTAGCTTACAAACTGTCTTTTTCAAAAATTATATATACTATAGTTTGTGGATAACTGAGTTAAGGTATTAATCTTGGGTTTTTATAAAGTCCCATTAGGACAAAATGGACTGTTGCAGAGTTAAGAGTATTGATTTAAAAAAATATTATCATATATTTTTGGTTAATTATGGTTGATTAGTCTGTATGAAGAAAACTCTACAAACATTTTAATTTCGTTGTTCGCCTGGCACAAGGCCAATAATAACATTCTCAATAAGTAACAAAACGACTCTTGTATCTAAGAAAGAGAAATTTGAATTTATATACAGAAATTTACATTTGCTGTTGCTGAAATAAAATTCAGAGAGACTGTATCTTTTGGAACTTTTTACGTTTTTTCTTTTGTTTGTTCCCAGGAAAGCTTCACGACTTTCTTTTAAAAAGTATTGTTCATAATAATTTCTGTAACAGTGAATATTACACGAAACTGTCTTTTGATTTGGAACCATGTTCACTGCAGCCGCAGTAGAAATGGTCTTTCTTGGACAAGATAGCCTAAAGGAGCCCAACTCTTTCCAGGCCGTTTTTGAATTCACTTACCTTCTCCTACACCGGTAGCCACCCAGGGCTATAGAACCCAGTATGTCCTGCTATTTACCCATTGGTGGGCGAGAGATAAAGAGGATTAATACCTTTCCCAAAGGTATTAATCCTCGTAATCTGTACCGCTATCCATTACTCCATCGTGCCTTATATATATATATATATATATATATATTGATGCATGTTTCATTAAATAATATAGACAAGTGTTGTCTATTTGTAAATTCTTTTCATATCGTCTGATAAGCTTAATAACATTATCATTGAAAGGCGAAAGAAAATCACAATATTGATATATTTTTTTAATCCTATCTAAGCTTTCGGCTTACATAAGTCATTATCAAAGATGACAATTACATTACAATATATTAAACAATACACGGGAAAAAAAACAATGATGATAGTCTGTTTATGTTTACAAGGAAGATTTCCAAGCAACGACAAACTCGTGCATACAAGACGCTGGAAGTGAAAATCGCACCGCAGCTCATGACGTCACACATGACCGCGCGAGAGTGAAAGCGAGAAGTATTAAGTATGGGAAGCCGTTGGTATAAACCAATGGCTTCTGTTAAATGCCAATAATTGGTAACATAAGCCATTGGTTTATACCAACGGCTTCTTATACATTGTGGTTCCTTGCTTCATGTTCAACAGTATTGTATATAAAACGAAAGTTAATAGTCATTTTTTCTGGTTTTGTAATGTACCGATCGTTTGCTTTAAGCATTACATGATCAAATAGACCAAAAAACTGGGGATTCATTTTAAGGAGTGTATCTTTTTTTTTCAACACTTCCCTGGTTAAGGGATACATCGATAAATCTACTGAAATACGGGTTTCATCAGATTGTGATATCCAATTTGTTCATGTCACTATATCAGGAAGAATTACTTAATTTCATTTATTAACAAACTGTGAAATATGTTTTTCTTTCAATTCAGAAAATATTTTAGTGTTTATTTTCACTTTATTTTAAGAATGAAATTATTCAAGAATGAGAACGTAAGTCTCTCATGCTATAGAAAAACCTATAAAAGTGCATTGTTTACGATTTTTCAACTTATGATCTCATTTTCGGTTCCTTTGCCTAACGAATATCAAGAACTAACTGCTTATAGAGATATGATTTAGACTACAATAGACACAGAATTTTGTTGCCTTAAGTCCAAGTGATCAAATACTTTCGTTTTCAACAAACATTGGGATAAGAATGATCGTGGACAGATCAACACCCTCTACCAAGAGATAGGACTTAAAATAAGCACTTCCATAATAGAAACTATGATTTGAAATTGGAATGAAAG